GGTTAACTTCAGAAAATTTGTTGCGCCTGTTGTATCTTACAGTCGATAGAATGCATGATAAAACATAGAAACACTTTAAGATCAAGGAGTTTATTAATCTGGAAGAAGATACGATCTTTTCATCTCGAATTAAGTTGTCACGAAAGAACGAAGACCATAACAAGTTTCATCCTCCACTCTAGGTACTTTCCAATACAACTTTTCCTTTTGTAAACCATAATTTCGATTTTTTCATAGAAAATTTGATTCCCGATTATTTATAATTCGTCAGATACCTTAATTATAAATCTAAGAAGTCATACGAGCTATCTCTTTATTTAGAAATATCATTTTTCATCCTCCACCTTAGATACTTTCCAATACAACTTTTCCTCTCGTAAACCATAGTTTCGATTTCTCCCTAGAAAATTTGATTCCCAATTATCTACAATTCGTAAGATTCCTTAATTACACATTTAACAAGTTACACGAACTATCTCTTTATTTAGAAACATCATTTTCCTTCTCAATAGCCGTGAAACAGGTTGTTCGTCCTGTTTTCACGGATTCTGTGGATGACGCTTCAGCTGTCGAAAAAAGGAAACGACCGATGAACGCGCATATAATCGAGCGTTCCATAAATACTCCTCGCGCAATCGTGACGAAACGTTCCGATGCGTTTTATCCGCGTTCGCGACCTTCCCGTTTCCCAGTTCTCATGGGAAAGTTTATTTTCCCGTGACCAGGAGGAAGGATATGGACGCGTTCTGCAACGGCCGCGTGGACCGACGAACTCGTTCGAGGCTACAATAGGCTCCGACGACGATTTATTTTCATTCGCGCCTCGACTCGTCCAGCTATTTGAAAGGAACGTCGCTGACGTAAACGGCTTGTCGAAATATCTGGAAGTCGACGGAGACCGGTACATTTAATTCCGTCGAATTTCGTTCGCGCGCCGTGTCGCCGAAATACTCCGGGCGGGCTCGTCCGAGAATAAAACAAAAATCTACGATCCAGAGTTACTGGAGCTTGACTGACGTCGCTCCGTGACGTTCATCGCCGCGAGAGATCTTGCTAGAGTATATTCGTCACGTCGGAGCGAGCTTTGAGCGATCATTCTCGTGATACAGTTCGCTGAACGCGAAGCAAATCGAGTTAACCCCTTGACGTTCTATTTGTTTTCGCTACTAATCTCGTGTAACATTTTACTATCGGCTATTTAGAAAAGAAGTAGCAAGATTTTCCATTCTACTTCAAGCGGAAGTTTCGTTTGAAGATAATACATTGCTAATAGCGAAATAGTTATGCGCTTTGATCCGTGGATAATGAAGAACATTGTTGTCAATTTAGTCTAGAAATCACGCGTCTCACTCGTCATTGTACGGCAAGGGGTTAAATCGGGCCATCGGAATCTCAAAGATTAATAATAAGTGACAGTAATGAAATCTAATCGAATCTAACGATTCAGTAATTCGATTTTCAGTAATTCACATTCCGACGACTGAAATTCCAGTGACTGAAACTTCAATAATTCAAACTTCAATCATGTTACCTTTAAATGGTACAATTGTGATACTACAAATGAATATAGAAAAAATTGTTAAAACAGGTAGAGGTTGCAATAAAATAGAGTCTGACTCGACACAGGACTGCAAAGTGATAAAGCTGGAAACCTGAGAAAAATCGAATCCTACTACTCCAGCCGCAGAAATCGCCGGAACAGCTGCAGCTAAGACCAATCGATCGCTCGCAGAGCAATCGCGCGACTGTTAGTTTCCCGCGCGACTATAGTCTCGTATAATAACGCGTTCCACGATAAGAGCGCCGATCGGCGCGGCCACGTGGACGCGACGAACCGGAGGGAGAGGCGGAGGACCGATCGCAAGGTGGCCCGAGACGGCGGGAAACGTCGGCGACGACAGGGACCGCGGCTCGTGACGACACGCTCGGATTATATTTAGAGAAATACGTCAGTAGCCGACCGGAGAGGTCGAGCAGCGGCCGATGAGCTTTCGACAGGCCAGACTGTTATGGAACTTTGTCGCGGAAAGTCGTTCGCGAAGCTTCCCGCGCGAGGAATCGGGCAGCTCGCTGCGGGATTCCGTCGACAGTGATTCTCGCGCGGTTCTTTCGCGGATTTCTTGACAATAGATTCACGGACGTTTATTCTGAACTTTATTGTTTCTAGGAAATCACGCGCTCGTCTATATAGATCGCGGAAATTGTAACTTCAACGCCAGACTGTCGCAATGCATTCGCGTTGTTGAATTAAAATCGAGTTGAACTGATACTAAAATAATTAAAAAATGCAGTACTCGTCAGATTGACGGGTTCCGTGTATCTAGTGTTAAACAATCTGCCGTTCGAGACAATTCGACGCGAGCGGAAGTTCCCGTTGGCATTTCACGAGTGAAGCGCGCCGATCTTTCGAGCGATCGGAGGATGTCGGGCGTCGCCAAGGTGTTCCGGAGGTACGGAAATTACCATGAACATCCAGTTCGGACGAGTTTGTAGATTTTGTATCTTTCTGCTGCTTCGTGCAACTTCTCCTTTTAATGGAGATGTTATCTTGAATGATCAGTGAGGCGGATCTCGGAGAATAACACGTTCGTCGATCGGCTTCGTCAAATGTTTTGGACTTTCGTAGCGAGTGTCGCGGTCGAGGATTAACAAGAACTGCCAGATGCGTTGAAATGACATTCCTGATTTCTTTTTGCAATTGTTGTGGAGATAACAGATGTTTTTCTGGCGAATTAATGGAGAAATTTACGTAGTGCGCGAAGTGAGTTGCAAATGAATTAACCCTTTGACGAATGTCGACATTCCGGCGAGATCAGATGTTCATATTTGGAAGACTGAGTCGTAAACAAATGATTTAATTGCTCGAATAGCAAGAGATCAGCACGTAGTTTCCTATTTTTCAGAGAATCTTCGTCCGCAAAGGGTTGAAGTCTGAATAGATGCACTCTTGCTGTTTATAGAAGAATTTCAATGAATCGATTTAACTGTCAACACTAAAACTACCAGGGATTAAAATGACTTATCCTTGATTGTTCTTTTACAGTTATTGAAAAGGTACAGAGATTTCCGCGAGAAATGATTAACACGTTAAGCGCCACGAAAATCTTAAGCGTTTTCCCATAGTTTGTCTTTCGTAGCAAAGAAAAGTAGGAATAATGAATTGTTTGGCGTTGCAACGTTTGCGTTATTATCAACTTAGTTGCCTTATTAAACATTTTTATTTCACATCGGTTGTCTCGTATGTTACGATTGTTTTTTTAGTCGTTCAGACGCGTCAGTCACCAGTGACTGACATAGCGCTTAACGTGTTAACGAAGCTAATTCGGTGATAGCAGAACTGAGACACGAGTCGATTGAAGCCTTAACACGTTCGCAGTAAAAATTTTAACACTAGGTTTACGGAACGCGTCGAATTGACGCATATTGGATTTTAGAAATATTATTTTGTAAATGTTTAACATGACATGTACCCTAACTACCTGCTATCAAATCTCCAGTTTCAATCTAAATAAACGAGCATCGATTCTTTTAGGAATAACAGAATGAAGTGTACAATAAATTCCCGTAACCTAGTATTAATGAACAAAAATAGAAAAAAAGCAAATGCCGTACTCCGAGGGTTAATAAGCTGTTTTTGACGAGTATACTCGTCACGAAGAAATGACAAGGTTTCGTGTTACTAGTACACTCGTCGAAACAGTTGACTGATTAAAGGAATAATTTTCGAAAAAACCAATTTCATAGGTACACGTTATTCGAATGAAAATCTCAGAAAAACTGATTTCCAGTAATGAATACGTACGCATACCAGAATAAAGTGCAGACTTTTTAAAGAGATCGCAACAGCCAACTGGTTAATTGGTATTCGCACGTCGTTAGTGGCGAACGAGTGGAGAGCATTGATAAAATTGTGCGCGCGCGGGGCACAGTGGACCGTTTGTGGTCCGCGTCGCGATCCTATCTTAGCCTGCACTACCGCGAATTAACGTCGTTAGCTAACACGCCATAAGTGGGCCTTCGATGGCACGTTAATTCCCTGCAACGCGCGTTGAATATTAAACGTCTATCCCCGCTTCGTCGAAAGTTGCCGCAACTTCGAGTCGATACTTCCCAAAAGGAAATCGTCGAATGGAATCTCGCCTTCGTTGAGATCGACCTTTTGTATCGTGCACAGCGTTCGCGAAATATGTGTTTTCGTATCGACACTTCGAACCTGTGGGAATAAGATATTTTAACCAGTTAACTGTGGAATTCAGTTAAAAACCTCTCGTTCTGCGCGATAAAATAAAATGGAGCTTGTACTCGTCGAATGCAGGACGAATGTACGTAGAGTATATTTTAATGAAAGGTCAAAGCGAGACAAAGAAGAATTAATGTTAATATTATAACTAGTGCAATATTGGAGCCTACAGAGTTCAAAGAGTTAATACCATGCTTTCCCCGGTGCACGGTCGTTGCCATAGAACTTATAATCCATCGTTACAATTCTCATAGAGATTGCGTGTCAATCGTATCAAACACTTGAATCCTCCAATCGAATAGTTTTACAAAAAACAAACATCCGAAAACTCCATTTAACCTGATACGCTATAAAAGCATCTACAAGCGTGCATCTTAAATCCGTCAATCTTAAACGCCCATCAGACGTTCTCGAGTGTTGCTAGTATTTACGGCCGAGCTGCGCCCGCCATGGCTCGCGAACATTTCGCGTTGCACTTCCGGGAATTATTTATCAAACACCGTTTTCCACGAAGCACCTCGAACGCCCAATTCCCGCTAGGCACATCAAAGTCCCGGGTTATTTGGCTAGCTGATTAGAGCGTCGCCTTTGAAATTCAAATTTGATGGCGGAGTCCGCAGCTCGGGAGCTCTTGGCCCGAAGTTATTTTAGCGTCTCCACTTACTCAAAAGAAAAAAGCGAAATAGAAAACCTGTGCAACTATTTAACGAACCGAGCAAACTTGTCAAGCCATCGATTAACATGTTAATGTCCTTCGCAGGAGCAAAGAAGCCTGAAGGCCGGCGACCTGTCGCACCAAGAGAGCAACAACATGGCGGCGTCCACGATGAAACTGCAGAGCGACTCGTTCAGCTCGGAAAAAGTGAGTATTCGGAGATCCTCGCGCGCGGCTGATAATCATTCGCGAGCGACGCGATAAAAAGAACGCAGCAGACGTTCGCGGGAGTAGTTTTCCATCGCCGAGGTCCGATTTTCCGCGGAGACGTCCGCCGAGCGACTCGCCAATCGCCGATCGCGTTCCTCTCCTCTTGGCCCGCCACCAAGGAATCCGCTTCCCCGTTCGGCCGGCCGGCCACAAATCTTCTGCGTTTGATAGCGTCTGTGTCCGTTTGGCTCCCGACGTGCGCCAGAGTCGCAGCTCGCGTTCTCGCGGCGCGAACGGCCCGGCCGCGCGCGTTGCAAAGTGGGAACCACGGATTTAAACGGTGGTCAGCTGGCCGCCGGCGTTCAGTCATTCTCGGTTTCCCGTGCGCCGCGGGCCCTCGTTCCCGTGAGACGACGCGACGCCGGAAACCGCGACCATGAGGAAGTGGAGCCTGGATTCTAGGATGGTACCAGTTCGTTTCTCTCGTTTCGACTTCCGTTGCAAACTACAGCTTAGAACCGTGATCGTTGGATGTTGGTAGAAATATTTCTGTCCGAACTCCACGACGAAAGCGATGGGAATATTCGAGCCGTTACGTGGCGATACAGAAATAATGTTTACATTGCCCACGGTCGCCGGACGTGACACAGAACGTGATAATTTTCCCCGGTGCGATCCGCCGCTGCGTTCCTCTGGCCAGTGCCAAGTGTTCGTTTCTAGTTCGTCGCGAGCTGCGTCTGGTTTGAATCCTCTAACGAGTCTCGTTGCCCGGGAGCTCGAATCTGTTGATAAAAATTAATGGCGCTTACTGTCGGTGATAAGTACTAACGCTAGGGAGACTGAACGAAGTTATCCGAGTGCGTGGTTGCTCGTTCCGAACGGTTTTCTGATCTTTGCTCGTGTTTGCTCTTGCAGAAAGCGATGGCGGCGCAGCAGCAGCGGCAGACGGTCACCTCCACGGGCATCTACAACCACGAGAAGCACATGGCGTCCAGCTCGCAGTCCAGCATCACGATCGCCTCGAAGGGCGTCACCTCGAAGTCCTCGATGATCACTGCCGCGAACGCGGTGAACCAGCTGATGAACGGGATGAGGCCAGCCGAGGACGAGCTGCTCTCTCTGCCTTTGGATGATCTAGACCTCCTGTGCTCGAAGTCCAACCCTCAGGACGTGGACCGAGCGATTTCGAAGTACTGCAGCTTCCTGGACAGCTTCGTGGAGCGCCTGAAGGCGAACGATGGGAAGAACGGCAAGGCTCCGTTGCTCTTGAACCGAGTGAACGAGATCATCAGGAAAGCCTGGGCAGTGCCCACGCACGGGCACGAGTTAGGGTACACGCTGTGCAACACGTTGAGAACCAGAGGCGGCTTGGACCTGCTGATGGCGAACTGCGTGGCCAGCGACAATGACCTGCAGTTCTCCTCGGCGAGGCTGTTGGAGCAGTGTCTGACCACCGAGAACAGGGCGCACGTGGTCGAGCACGGCTTGGAGAAGGTGGTGAACGTCGCCTGCGCGTGCACCAAGAACGCGAACTCGGTGGACCACTCGAGAGTCGGCACGGGCATCTTGGAGCACCTGTTCAAGCACAGCGAGGGCACTTGCAGCGACGTGATCAGGCTGGGCGGTTTGGACGCGGTCCTATTCGAATGTAGGAAGAACGACGTGGAGACCTTGAGACACTGCGCCGGCGCGCTGGCTAACCTGTCGCTGTACGGTGGCGCGGAGAACCAGGAGGCGATGATCAAGAGGAAGGTGCCCATGTGGCTGTTCCCTCTGGCGTTCCACAATGACGACAATATTAAATATTACGCGTGCCTGGCGATAGCGGTGCTGGTGGCCAACAAGGAGATCGAGGCGGCGGTGCTGAAGTCCGGCACGCTAGATCTCGTCGAGCCTTTTGTAACCTCGCACAATCCGTACGAGTTTGCCAAGTCGAACCTGGCGCACGCGCACGGCCAGAGCAAGAACTGGCTGGAGCGGTTGGTGCCGGTGCTGAGCTCGAAGAGGGAGGAGGCGAGGAACCTGGCGGCGTTCCACTTCTGCATGGAAGCTGGAATCAAGAAGCAGCAGGGCAACACGGAGATCTTCCGGATGATAGGCGCGATAGAGCCGCTGAAGAAAGTCGCGAGCTGTCCGAACGCCATCGCGTCCAAGTACGCGGCGCAGGCGCTGCGGCTGATCGGCGAGGAGATCCCTCACAAGCTCAGCCAACAGGTGCCCCTCTGGTCCACCGAGGACGTCAGGGAGTGGGTCAAGCAGATCGGGTTCGCCGAGTGCGCGCAGAACTTCGTTGAGAGCCGGGTGGACGGCGACCTTCTGCTTCAGTTGACGGAGGAGAATCTTAAAGAGGACATCGGGCTCACGAACGGCATCAGGAGGAGAAGATTCACCAGGGAGCTGCAGAACTTGAAGAAGATGGCGGATTACAGCAGTCGGGACACCGGGAATTTGAACAATTTCTTACAGTCCATCGGGCAGGAGTTCTCCATTTACACGTACAGCATGCTGAACGCCGGCGTCGACAAAGACTCGATCAGGAATCTGTCCGAGGACCAGCTGACGACCGAGTGCGGGATCGCGAACAGCATACACCGGTTGAGGATACTGGACGCTATCAAGAACATGCAACACAACCAGCTCGGCTCCTGCGAGGACGAGTCGCCTGACAAGTCGTTGGACGTGTTCGTCAGCTACAGAAGATCGAATGGCTCTCAGTTGGCTAGCTTACTGAAAGTGCATTTGCAGTTGAGGGGTTTCTCTGTGTTCATCGATGTCGAGAGGCTGGAAGCGGGCAAGTTCGACAACAACTTGCTGCAGAGCATCAGACAGGCGAAACACTTCCTCCTTGTGCTCACGCCCAAGGCTTTGGAAAGGTGTATACGGGACACTGAGTGCAAAGACTGGGTTCATAGGGTGAGTCCCGTTGCTCGTTGATCGTTTTGTCTGTGATTGTCGGTGTTGAATGAAACATTCTTAATGCCGTGTTAATATTGTGTGCAGGAAATTGTAGCAGCACTTCAGTCGCAGTGTAATATAATTCCCATCATAGATAATTTTCAATGGCCGGAACCCGAGGAGCTTCCAGAAGACATGCGAGCGGTTTGCCATTTTAATGGTGTACGTTGGATCCACGACTACCAAGATGCCTGCGTAGACAAGCTTGAAAGGTGAGCTTCAATATAATAAACCATATTTTATGGTGTATTCGGTACTTCAGACCCCGCCTACTTCGTCCTGCCTCCTGTGTTCGCTCCGCCTACTATCCCTCCCCTCGCATCATTCTCCGCCTACTGTTCCCTTCCTTCTTATTTGCCACGCCCATTTGTTTAGCGTTACTTGATGTGTTTTTGACCTTAATTGAACAGTTTGTTTTTATTCGATCAGAGGTTCAATTGTACGTTTTAATTTACAGGTTTATGCGAGGCGAAATACCAGTCAGATCGGAAATGTCTGGTGGTATTCCAAGAAGTATTGCGTCCAAGGACGTGACTCAACCGAACACACCGGGTAACACGAATATCCGACAGTCACCAAATTACCAACGTATGCACAGCAATGAGAGCAGGGGCAGCGATAAAGATTCAACAGGTGGGCGGGATTGACTAGAGGGCCCGCCCACAGCTATACCGAGCAGGTCAGCGTGATTTGCAACCTTGCCTATATTTATTCATCATTCAATAACACTAAACTCTGGGGTTGCGACGTTTAACACTATATCTTTTTGTTTCCATGCAGCCAGGACTAACAATCGCTATAAGACAATCACAACTAGGTTAGTTTGTAAAATCAGATTTATATTCGTATTGAAATGGTGTCAATTGCACAGTTGGAACAAAGTCGTCTGATTCATAAAAATAACAAATAACGAAACAAACATTTGGTAACAATCAGAACAATAACCGTCATAACCTCAAATGATCATTTGATTTTGTTCGAACTATAGTCATTGTCCTCTCCACTTGTCTTCCATGTTCTGCTTACCATTGTGGCTATTGTACTCTGCAATGTCATTTGGAATAAAGTTGTTGCTCGACATCCTTAGTCTATGTTAGGATTTTTCATTACCGTAACGTTGAAGTCGTCCAATGTAAGCATGATCCAGTTGTCGTGTTTCATAAATAGACCGCGGATTTTATACATAAACCTCAGTGTGACATATTCAATAAAATGTATTGACATTTTTCTATTGTTCGAATCAAGAGAAACTAAATTATTTGATTTAAACTATCCGCAGTCTACTCATAAGTGTGCATACCCCGTGATGAAATTGTCAAATAGAGTACAAAGACCTGCATGGTCACTCAGTGTACCTATCAGTATATTATTCTGTTAACAGATCACAATTAACAGGTGCCATTCAAATTACAGATTTAGAAAATCGTCGAGTCCGTCCCGTTGGTTAATGGGTCTACCTCCCACTTCTCCACGATTGAAGTTCATTCACACACACCCTGGGGGGAGTCCAGTGCCACGACGACCACCGCGTCATCCTCCTTCACCATCCACCAGATCTCGTTCATTAGAACTACTGGACCAAGAGGAGAAGAAGTCTGTCTCCCCTATCAGGGAGCCGGACCCACAGCCTAGACCAAGGTCCAGAAGCTTGGATGGCTTGTTAGACGAAGATGGTATGATACCAGACATGAAGACTGAAATGTTGTCTGAACAAAACGAAAATAAAAGCAACCTCGAGTCCCTAGACATTCTGAACAGACTGGCTGATCCGAAATCAGAAGAACCTGTTCAAAGTGAATTGGAGGTTAGAGGGAGCAAGGTGGAAGGAGAGCGAACGGATGGTGACATTCAGTCTGAAGCCACAAGCCTGGAGAACAGTTCTAAAGTGAAGTCGAATGAAGATCCAACGCCGGTTCCTAGGCAACGAACAAGAACGCTTACCGCGGAGACAAAGGAAGCGAGAAGGTTGTCAATCGTCGAGGAGCCTGGCAACAAAGAGGAGAATCCACCCACGCGACCGCCAAAACCGAATCGATTCATCAGCGTGGATGGACATCTGTCGACCTCGAGCACTAAGAACGAACAGGTGGGTTCGCAGGCCAGCATGGGGAACGTTGATCACTGCGCTGAGAACGCGGAACTGAAGGAGCGACTGGTAGCTACGGGAAACGACAAGTCGACGCTGCTCAAGGCGAAGAGCTGTGGCGCGGGACTAGATTCCGACGAAAGCATTTCGTCTAACGAGTACAAGCCGAAAACAAAAGAGCAGGGATCGCTGTTGTCTCTGCCGACCGGTGCCGAGCCGAAACGCAAAAAAAACTTCATGGACAAATGCGTGAACAAAGTGCGGTCTTTCATGAGGAAGTGAAACGTGACTTCCCGGTTATGGTGATAAAGACTATTGTTTAATTTTACATTGTTTAATCGTAGTATGTCGATATTAATTGCGGGGACCTCGTAGTCCCGATCAGCCCCAAGTGTCGTATATATTTGCATGTCGCATTAATCGTTTCTATTTGTAAAGAAAGAATTGTTCCCGAGATGTACAGACAGTATTCCTAATTCTCCATACGCGAACAATTACATTTCTTTCCTTTTCATTTTGTATTACAATGCAGTCTAAGTATATATATATATACATAAGTATGTACATATGTATTCAAAATATTTGAAAATCGTGTTAGAATTACACGCGCGAGTATATACGACGTTTGTCTAAAGGACTGCACGCCATGGTAGGGTTATGAATGATTGTTTTCTTTCTGTACAATGACAGGCAGCATGAAAGTGTAACTGATGTTGTGCCTATTCGGCCTCGTCCAGACTGAGAAGAACTACTTACTAGCTGCTCGCGAACAGCTGTCTGGACGTGGCCTTACAAAGTGTCTTCTTAGAAGTTCAGAGATTCTTGTCCGACGTAGACAGACATGAAAGAGTAACCTGGTTTTTCAGGTGGCTTTTATATATATATATTTCTTTATCAAATTGTATTATAGACATGTAAACGCGTAGATAGGTAGCATTGTTATTTGTAATACTATTTTTTGTATACTCGAATTCATAAGTTCTGATTAGCGGATGCCACGCCTGCGAAATTAATTCAAGTAAAAATTCTATGAGATTATTTACCACGAGGGAACGTATAAAAAGGGAACTCAGAACTTATGAACTCGAGTACAGTTGTTCTTTTATAGGACGTCGAAATGTAATATTCCACTTGCGATGTACGTCGTGAGTAAAGGCAGCTAACATACAGAGATAACAGAAATTCTGAAATGTAACGATCGGTAACATTATTTTATCGTTTAACAAGCCTTTTTATCGCTGTTTAACCGACGTTCATCGGCCTTACGTGCATAGCAAACTCGAACAAACTTTGCGCAAAGCGAACCTTACGAAGCTTCGATACTGTACTATTCTAAGATCCTGCCGAAGAATCGAGAAATGTATATTTTACCAAAGTTTCGTAAAGTAAAGTCTAAGAATTTTATCAGAAGTTTGAATGTTTCCCACGAAATAAATTTTATTTAGCAAAACATTACCTAATCTATGATTTGTCACTATTACAAGGCCCAGTTAATGTTCTACAGACATTTATTCCTTGTTATACTATGGAGTATCGACGAAAGCACTTTTATATAAATACTTAAATCCATATCCAATCACAATGTTTTTATTTTCCTATAAAAATAATAACTGTTTTCTTTGTACATACTTCAAGATGCATAGAAGGCACAATACATCATTTGTAAACGATGAGGCAAGTAAGCTAAAATTACTAATGGATTTGGCATATATTTAATGTAAGTGCTCTATTCCATGTTGCATGTATCGTAAACTACATAATTTTATTACAAAACATCACTCCTATACCACAGACAATTCTTTATACAAAAGTTAATACAAATTTCAATTTTGAATTATTTAATAATTCTAGTTAATTACAAAATATATGAAATAACATGATTCATTCACAAGCAATATTGAAACAAATTTTACCTAAATCTGATTGTGAATCATGTCATTTTGATTATTTCTATTAACCAGCATAAACATAGATTAACAAACATACCACCAAATATGTCATGTCACTAGTATCAAACTGAGAGAACATGATATTTTCAAGTCAAGTACTATAAAATATATTAATTTTTTTATATAAATTCAGAACCTGAACAGTAGCTTATTTTATCTATTCACAATGTCGCCTCTTCCTCTAAGTCGTCGCATCAGGAACATATCTTGAACTTTAATAGTTATGCGTTTTGAATGTTGTGCTAATAATATGCAATCTTCAAAAAATTGTACCATATATGCTTCAGTTGCCTCTTGTAATGCTTCTAAAGCACTTAGTTGTATTCTAAAACCCAATGATTCATACGGCTTAGAAAAAGTATTTTAAATCTCTGATATTTAAAATCTTACCTATTAACACCCAAGGTAGGGAATAAGTCAAAAATAATAAATTTTACTAAACGAGCGAAAGTACTTCTTGGTATAAGTAATTTTATAGATTTTCTCAAATGCCGTATTTCTCGAAAAACATGTGATTTGTTTCGTCTTCTGGGTACCAAAACTTCTGTCTAAAAAGATCCCAATTTTACATTTATAATACTGTTTAATATCATTTTAAAATATCCTAAACATATTAATTACTTACTCGAGATTTCTCACGATTCTGTGAACCACTGATTGATCTAAAATATTACTTTCTAATTAAATGAAGCAAGCATATGATGTATAACAATTTGAATTGACAACTTTCAAATAAAGAAATTATAAAATCTATTTCAACGAATTAAAATACTGAAATTTATCATAAGTAACATTAGATGTGATTCTTTCATTTATTATTCTTTTCTTTTATAAATTATTCCCTGAATTATAACTATAAAAATTGATAAATAAAAGTAATCGATAACTAACCTCGCATTTGATTTTCTTCGTACCATTGTTGCTCAATAGGAGATTTTATTTGAATTGTACACGTATCACAGATAGTTATTTTTATTCTTAACGTATTGTACCTAAATAATATATAGAGGTAACTCAGAAAAATAAATAAAATCACAATTGAAGATGGACACAAAAAAGGCGGTACAAAATTAATACGTTGGCGGGAGTTTAATTGAAAGTGACTTTGTGGTGCCACCAAGTGGCGACTTTTTGAATTCAATTCCCGCCGCCTTTTAAACAAAACGAACGAGTAACATATATGTACATACATATCCCTCTCGATATTCCCCAATCAAAAGAGAAATAACAATTGTTTACTATAGTACGTAACGCTATAACTTTAGTGTACTTTAGCGTCCTCTACAAGTATGTTCATATTTAATCTGTTTCTGGTTTTTCCTCATTTGAATATTGCATAGTTAAAAATACTATTTATTATATAATTAATCTATGTACATAATGTATCAACAACATAAAAAATTAATTCATTTTCATGCAATAGAGTATTACGACTTTACAAGCACTTTCTTCATGTATTTATTTATGAATTTCGTTTTATGTTTTTTCTTCATAGAATCCATCGAAGTACTCAGTGTATCGAGACCTTCAAGCGATGGTAAGCTCACTGTTTCTGTGATTGGTATATATTCCTTTGTTTGATGTTCTGATTTTCGCGTCAACTTTTTCATTGTGCGTTGTAGAAAATTATCAGACTTCTTCTTATCTTTTGGCTCACATATATTTTCATCCAGATTATGAAAGTTATTTTCTGTTTTTAATTCATGAGAATTTCTTATATGGTTTTCTTGCTCCTGAATTGGCTTTAAATGTTTACTAGTTTCTTCATTGAGTTTTCCATTTGTTTCAAATTCATCATGAGTATTTACTGTCTTCGGAAGTACTACTTCCTTCTCAAAATTTCTCGTTGCATTCTCCTCTGCTAGATTTGGTATCCTAACAGAATCTCTCAATTTTCCCCAAAAATCATACATACCAACTCTATTGTAATCCAATATAAACATATAATGTAATTGCGGTGGTAACTGACATTTTTCATAGAGACATGGTATTACTTTCCTCTGACGTTTGTCTAGAATTAAAACAAGTATTGTGTGAGAATATATTATGCCATAATATTGAGGCTATGTAATGTAACTTGTTAGAGTATTCATAAAACATACCAATACCCAATGCTTGAGCATAGTTTAAAAAGAATTTATTTGCTGGACTTTTCAAGAAATTAGGTGACACTATTACAATTAATCTATTACACCTCTCTGAGATCAATGTCATCACAGCTTCATGCTCAAATGTAATACCACCAATTAAATCCCTATCCTTTACACAGAGCTAGAAGACAAATATTTTAATTGTAATTTCTTGTCATTATTTTGCACTGAGTTTATTTCTTTACCTTTAAGCTGTACTGATTTTCCAGCTTATCCATCATTTCAGTGGCAAAATTAAGGTCCTCATCAGCATATAACAAAAATGCATCATAATATTGATTTTCAAGTCCTTGTTTTAGTCTGTGAAGATCATCTATAGAAGAAATAAAATTTTATGTAACAATAGATTATTATATTTTATTGTTACGTTTCATTTACCTATAGTCAAAACTTTTTCGTCAACTTCATTTATAATTACATCGGCTGATGTTTGAGATCTTTCTATTTGTTCCAAATATTTCTGTGCATCTCTTTCTGTAATATAAGTACAAAATAAAACATGTGAAACTAACTTAAAAAGCATAAGACATAATCTAACAAACCAAAAAGTTCTGCAGTATCATCCAAGATATCCCATCTGTCAAGCTCTTCGAATATTGCTTGAAGATCTTTAATTGTTATATTTTTATTTTTTTGTTCATATAATGTTAAAATATATGCAGATGGATCTGGATGTGATGTCAATAACGGCATCATCTCCCCACCCACATTCGATAAATGTGCGAGACCTCTCCAATCCCTAATTAATCATACATATATTATCTTAGATCTAAGCAAACATTAAACTAACATAATGTGTAAATAAAAATTAATACCTGGGCAAACCATTTTCTGCTGGGATAACTTTCGGTGGATTTAATAAAGTTGAGATAACTTGTTTGGATTCCACAGATAGAGCAACAAGTGGCAATTCTAATAAAGCAGGTGTCATTTTTTTGTCCTGTACTTAACCTCAAACTACTCGAAACAATTGTAAATTATTAACAATTCATTGTTAAATAATTTACATAATAAATATTAAATTCTAACAACAAGGTATTTTTCAGAACATATCAGGAGACAGGCAGTTTTATTTAACATTAGATTAACATTGCTTAACACATCAATATTGACACTCAAAACGCGTATTGTTTTTATTCAAGCCACGTGAATCCTTTGATAATTAACACCAATTAATTTATCCACTATTATAACGTCTTCCTTAATTTATATTGTAATGCTTACTACTATTTACACTCCTTTCAATATTATTATTAGACTAAAGCATGATACACCACTGTTTCTAAGAAACCGTCAAACGTGACACTTGACTAGCCAATCAAAGTGTGACCCACGATGGAATAATAAAAACATTTAGATTACTGTGTCCGGCCAATATTATGTATACAAAGTTTATTTCAAATATGTTAAAGTTCAGTACAGTTAAAAATTTAACCAAGCTCGATGAGTAATTTCTTTAAAGTAATCTCTAAAAATCTATACTTTCTTAAACATCCAGTGATTAATCATAATAATGTTTACATGATAACTTTAATAACGTGTATATTGATTTAAATATATAGCTATATCTTACCACTCAAGTATTTGTACGACGCTTCATTTAAAATTACTTAAATAGAATATAAAAATTATTACTTGTAGTTTAAATAAAATGACTCATTCTTTCGACAAACTACTTCTCGAATTTTTAGCAATTCCAGTGCTCAATTTTGATGGTTCAACCGGTTTTATTTTAACGGGTATCGCTTTCGAGATTTTTGTGGGTGGCTTAATCATTGATGTACGTCCAACCAACGTATTAAGTGCTTCTTTTTTCTTAGGTGTACTGATTCGTGATTCAGGCGATACAGTCGTCTTCGTTCCTACACCAGGTCTGAAAAAAAAAATCAATTGCCTTCAGCGATAAAGAATAATTGACGCCAGATTACTTTATGCGTTCATAGTAAAGTAGCAACAGATGGCGCCGTACCCTTAACACATTGACTCAATGGTCACCGATGACCAGAGAGCTTAAAAATTGTTTAAATACAATTACAATAAGAAAACTGTTAAACAAAAATATTCAGTAACACAAACAGCTAGATGATAGTGTAACACGTGTACTGTGATACCAAGATATTAATAATATAATTATTTTTAATACAGAATCAACGTGTTAAAATATTTGATTCAACCGTAAGATTGAATTTGTTTAATGCACTTACTTTCCAGTGGTCAACAATTTTTGTCCAACCTCTGTAGATTTCGCAGGCAGCGAAAGAATAGATTTAGACGAAGGAATATAAAAACTATTCCGGCGAACCGACGGTTTTATACTTCCTTGTTCAACCGGTGTGCTCTTCCTCGTTGAAGAATGAGAATTCATTGTATCCATACTGCGTCGTGCGTTCAGCATTCGCGGTGCATTTCCTGAAGCTGGTTTCACCAATGCTTGCGTCTTGTTTTGCTCCAACCTCGCTGACGGTTTGATGCCAGTAATCGTCCTCGACCGTTTCAATGAACTTACAACTATTGTAGGTAACATGTTAGCCGGCGCTGACTTAACGGATGTACAGTCATCTAAGGAACAATATCAATAGATCAAAATAAATAACATGTACTCTACAAATAAATTAACCCTTTGCACTCGAGAGATGACTTCAAAGAACGTCTGTATCTCATCGAAGAATATTGAATATTTCTAGTGAAAAACTTCTGAGTGCAAATGGTTAATAACATCAATAATCATCCTCTAATTATCCCTATTTTAGTGATCACCTTGCGTATGACACGCGTCATCCGAACTAACTGATTTCTCGTTTAACACCTTAAGTGCTTTTTCTAAGTAGCGTTTAGCCTCCGTTATGTATTCCGTTAAGCCCTTCGAAGTCTCCTCCCCTTGCAAAGAAATCTGTCCTAATGAACTAGAGAGTTCATCGAATATAGTAGGAGAGCTCGTTAGCTTCGGTGGCGACGGTCTGGGCTCTCCCTCCAGACTTCCGCTTTCGATGTCGATGTCCCACGTCTTCTGACGTTGCAACGCGAACTTGTTCACACGCGACGGAGTTGCGTTCCGACTTACAGACGTTTGCGTGTGATCTTTCTCGTTGCTCTCAGAGGACGGCTGCACAACAAAGCACACAGTTGCAACAAAGAAATTGTCAAATTCCTGTTTACCCTTAACTCATCGCCGAACGCTTGGTTTTAAAATCCAAACGCAGTTTCTCTTTAATTGTTTGTTTTGACTTGTTCAGGTCATGAAAAATCGTACACAAAATCAACTTACATGTTATCTAGACTGTTACGTCATTTTTGGTCAATGCATTACTGAAGAATAAACAGATAACTAATAATAAACACTAGAACTACCAGATGGGTCAGAATAACTTATTTTTGATTTCTTTACTATTACTGAGAAGGTTACTTCCATGAAAAATTATTGAAACTATTTCAGTAATAAAAGCTGAAGTACAACTCAATTGAAATCTTAATAAAGCTTATGGTTTTTATAGAGAAATTGATAGAAGTTAGTTTAGGTGATCGGTAGTTAGTGTTAATGAAGGTATGCAGGACGGCTATGGGCGTCATTTGCGGCAATGGATTAATTAAATTCTCACCTTCGTGTTCCAGCTATTCGCGCGTAAACAGATTTCCGGTTGGGTGTGGCTTCGAGTGACGCCCATCTCCCTTTTGACACTCTCAGCCGGAACCTTCACCTCGTTACTCGAACACGAGATGTTCAAACTTACATCTGTGTTACGGTTCATATCTGGTTCACCGGCGATCGTGTCGAACAGTCTCTGCGACACGTCCCGCAGAACTCGCGTAACTTCTTTCGACAAACGGGGCAACAGATTGCTACCAGTTTCTTCAACTTTGCGCGGAATATTGTCCTGAAACGATGTTTAATTAACAGAACAATCGTAATCGTAGAATTTGAACCTTTTCTAGAGATTCAGGAATATTTAATAAACGATTCACGTGGATCCTTGCTAGATTTGTTATAGTAAAAACTCTTCTCTTCCGTTACTTTCGACCTTGCCTTCAAGGAAACAATGTTATGATGATTTCAACCTTTGCACTCGAAAGTTTTTCAATGGGAATATTCAACACTTTTTGAAGAGATATAGGTGGTACTGTGATATTCATAGATAAATTAAGCAACAAAGGTTTTATTTCAATATTTCACCTAACAATGCGAAGTTTAATTTGAAATATTAAATATTCAAATTAATACGAAAATTAAATATTCAAATATTATATTATAGTTTTGTTGTATCGAATCAGGTGACTGAGGGTCACCTCTCGAGTGCAAAGGGTTAAGAGATTCGACGATTTCAAGGAACTGATTTCAGTGAACCGTTACGAACTGTGCTTCCTACAGGCCCGGTGCCGCTAATGCTCCAGAAGGACGCGTCCTGGACATGATCAGGATTAGGACATCGACACGGGACATCCCTTGACTCTAGGATCGCTCTCATTTTCGAGGAGCCGCACTCGATGGTGACCTTCAGGATTCCTGGCCGAGATGCTGAGGCGTTCGATTCATTAGCTTCCTCGGTGTTACGTTTCTCGAACGAGTGAAGCTTGTAGCCGATCGCTTGGAAGAACCCGGCGAGAATCGGTAAATCGTGACGCAATTCGTCGTTCGACTCGTCCGTTTGCAGTCCGTTTATCCATCTCAGTACCCACTGGTAAAACTTCCTTTGCACGCCTACTTGAGTGGTGGTTTGACCAGCGAAAGAGCACGTGCTGGTATCCATATCGTGAAGACATCAACTAAGGGAATCGGTAAAGACACCGGGACTCTAGGTGTCTGTTAACATTTTTTGCTTACTCCTTCGGTGACCTATACGGGGAACATACATAGTGTCATTGACGAGGAATTGTTGTGGCACGGTAAATGTTGACAGTAAAACGATTGGAAGATTAAATGCTTCGGTTCGTTATACTGGGTAGCATGGATGTTGTTGTTGTTTTAGGATCTGTATAGATTTTTGATCGATTCGTAATGATATCAATAATTTTTTAATAATACAATAGATTCTTCTTGAATTCTATTAGATAAAGCTGAATTAGTGTATGATCTGAACGAGTTTTTAATTAATTTGTGAAAATATCTATAATTTTTTAACAAATGAATTGTAGATGTATTGTAGCGGTGGTTCTGATATTTTACCATGTGTTTGTTGATATTTTTGTATAATTGATCTTTTCGTTTAGTATTTTGAAACCGTTAGTGGGAAATTTGAATTTGAACGTTGAAAAGTTTTGAAACGTTTTGTAACGTTCGAATGCTGAATAGTTTGGATATACTAGTATATAGTTAATATAAATAATGATGTTTTATAGTAATTTGTTATATAGATATTTTTTTAGAGGAATTAAGTTTTAAACACGTAATGACTCACGTAGTGAATGATTGTTATGCGCAGCGCTATCTACGGTGAAACGCTCAAGCTGTTCGTAGTAGTAGTTCCAACATTTTGCCATAGGTAGCACTGTAGGTACTTTCCAATGAATATTAATCCTAGCTTAAAAAGAAAATTAAAGGTTAATTAAAAACGTGACAATCAGTCATTGTCAATACGCAATATCTGTTCAGAGGAATATAGCAACTTGCATGACATCACAAGGCAAAATTTGCAATTGTAATTTCTATGATTATTATGTATTCTTCTTTCTGGAAATTGTTGCGTTTTAGTACAAATCCTAAATTATCGTTTTACTTGAATTACGATGGAAAGAGATATATTATTTGAAATAACGTTTTCCATATTAACAAGAAATAAAAAGTCAATTGTTCTGAGGTTAATCAATCTCACTGATGTAAGACGAATAAATATTTTGATTTCGCAACATATGAAAGTAAAAGTGGTCTTATTAAATTATTTAAACAGCGGTGATTCAAAGAGTATGGATAAAAATAGAACTAGAAGCGTTATTTCAAAAACATGTTTGCAAAACAGTGAAAAGTTCGTTTAAAGAGAAACGATTGAAAAGTATACATATTCGAAGGATAACGGTTTTATTTATACTTATTGAAAGTAGTGCGAGAAACGGAAGGGAAAAGTAACATCGATGCAATAATCGTGTCAGAGAACAGGGAAACCAGGGTAAAATCGACAGATTATGAATTAACTCGCAAGTAGACCGTGTCGGCGCTACTGGCGCCAAGACTTGTCACTTTTACGTTAACCGTTGTGCGAATCGGTGCGGATATTTCGCGGTGCTGGTTCGTGAAGTCAGTGATGTTCCACTAATTGTCGATGAAATATGTTGATTAATTGTGCGCGAACGCATCACGTCACGTTTAAATAAGGTAAGGATATTATTATATTACCGTTTCGAAGATGATCATTGTACTCGAGGAGGTTAACCTTTCTTCCATTTCACATTTTTTTTCAACGTTATAATATCCGCTTGGAAAGGAGTTTCGTGTTCGAAACAGTCTCATTTTCAACTATAAAGGCACACAGATATTTTCTTGTAATCACGCGAGAATGTCAAGCGATAAATGTGCTTTTTGCGTAGTTCGCGTAAGCACACCTGTCATGCAGGTTCTGGGAACAGTTTAAAAAGTTCTAACGACTTTTCGATCAGCAATTCATGTTGCACGTTTTGAATTCGATATTGACAATAATATCGATGTTCGAATATCGATTTCTAGAGAAAAATTACATTGAACGAATATGAATTTGTTATCTAATAATTGTCTGATTGGTTTTAATTAAGTTATATCAGTGTACATTAATGGAATTTTCCAAATTACACACAGTAGAGATTTGTATAGGCTATAAAGTTCCCTTATAATTCAATTTATTATAATGTTTATTTTACTGTACAATTATGGTTGGTTTATCGTCTCATTAATGTGTAAGTTTTATTTATAAACTTTGAAATGATATTTTTTAGTAATTTTTGAATTTTCCGCCAGTTTTACTAATTCTTCACTTTCATGTTTCAGTGGTTACATAACAATAAGTAAATACATAAGATGGGTGAGCCAAAACCATCAGGATTGAAACCACCTTCGAAAATTGGTCGACCATGCAGCAATCTGCCGCCAAGACCAGCAGTCCCACCATCACCACCAAGGCCAGCAATGAGTGAGTTTTTAATAATATTATTTATCATATTTTATTCTATATGCATGCTTCGAAATAATCCATTGTAATTGTATATCCTTTGTATAATTAAATTTTATAATGTGTACCCTTATATGCCAGAATATAGAAACCGTATAGACACCCTGATACTTTTTAGGCAGAATGATGTCTCACTTATAGGAAGTATACATTAATTTAAAAAATTTTCAGTGTCCAGAAAGTGATGCTATTGTATAAGATACCAAGACATAATTAAGTGCATCTTCATATTAAATATTAGTCAACATAGGTATCCCCTTTTTAATTTAATAACCCTTGGATCAATTCTAGGCGATAATTAAATCTACTCAGGTCAGTAGAATGATTCCTTTAAAGCGTTCAGGAGGTACCGAAGTAGAGATCCTTAAAAATATTTCTGGTAAAGTGGCAATTTATGCGATTTAATATGAAACCAATGGAAACAATAATACGGGTGTAAGTTACTAAGGTAAATAAAATGAAAACAATGCGACCTAAGTTGAAGCCCAATGATTGTATTACTGTCGATGAGCTGATACAGATGAAGGGTCGGGCTCGATCGAAACTCGACGCGTCTAATTCCCCACGCCACGCGATCAAGTACGCCCACCAGACCCTGAGACGAGCGTGAACGAGTTGCTTTTACAAGCGCGAGCCCGCGAACTTCTCGCGAGTCGTTCTTCTACCTCTCACCGCAACGGATCTCGTACGAGCGATCTGGTAAATACACATTTCACTAACAAACGGTCCCACCGCGAACGCTTCGTTCCCTAAAAACGGTACCTCGGGATCATCCAGTGAACTTTTGGTGCTCGTGCAGCTACAGTTACTAATAAGAACACTCCGGTTAAACAATAACACAATTCTTCTGATTAAACAGGTGTCTAAACTCTTCAGTTCTTCTTTCAATCATTAAATTCACTCTTTATAAAAAGGATCCTCAATTCTTTCCCCATGGAAAACACTTCTTGCTGATCCTAGAAGTATGACACCTGAAATCACATTTTGCCCCATTATCATTGAAATACATTCCATCGGTGTCCATTGGGAATTCATGTCCCTAGGAAACACTTTGTAAGTAACTCTTCTAACTAACTCAGTTCACTTTCATATACAATCATACTCAATTATTTCCTCAGACGTCTGATCCAACGCTTCATTCTAGATTAACTTGCAAGAACCTCCGAAGCCAGATGTCTTCATTACCCTGGGTCATCCATTGCGCTCGAGTCTCCAGAGACTCTAGAATCTCAATCTCGTTTCACGATCGGCAACCCATTCACAAAGTCGCCTCTCTTCGCCGAGCCGACCGGAGTCGGCCGACCCTAGAGTCTTCATTTCTAATCTCGATCCGACGTCTCCGGATCTCAAGATAAATCGGCTCGATTATTCATCGGCGGTGCAAGGCCTCGGAGACAAACGCGGCGCGCGTACAAAGCGCGTGGCACCGGGAATCGGGGGCACCTATCTTGCCTTATTGGTTCATCCAAGAGCGGCGGCACGGTCAGAGGAAGGGACGGAACGCACGCCGGTGCACCTCACGCGGTGCAGTCATCGTCGCCGCGATGACGCACGCCGGTTATGCAATCCGGCGTGTTTGTTGTACGCTCGATATCCAGCCGTTTCATCTTTCCTCCCACGTGCCGGACGCTTCCCTTATCGGGTAGGGCTTTTCGAGCCACCGCGGCGCCCGCGATTCCTGTGCGAGCCGGCCACCCGCTTCCCGATCGGCTCCCGATCGGTTCCCGTTCGGTGGAGCACCGTGTCCAACGGACAGGCCCCCGTCTCGGGTGTCGCAACGCGATCGCCAGCCCCAAGGTAATGATGTCAATTTTCGACTTGACGGGGAAACGGATACGTTCCTGATACTCGATATTATCTGCACTACGACCCGATTGTCGCGGAGATCAATGAAAGTGGCGTCTGTGGGCTCTGCATTGATACCTTAGTACCTTCGCTGGATCTCGTCCAAGAATTCGCTGGATTGTTCCAAATTACAAGGGTAGCCTTCCAAATTATCTTGGAAGCTTCTCTTGCTCACCGCTCCATTCGAGTCTCTAATTGTCCTACAGCTTGTGTCGTTATTTTTTAACTGTTTTATCCTTTTTGTGAACTAGGAAGTTATTCGAATATTTCACTGTGCTAAATCATTGCTTTGATATTTAGACCTAATGCTTGCGGTGTTATGTAGATCGGTCTTAACTGTCCAAGTTAGTTCGATTCTTGGCAACCGACGAGTCTTCGATCTACATGCAAGTTGCCTGTCGAGCATTCCTGATCGAAGATTCAATCCACGGATCTCTGGAATTGGTTCCCCCGCATTCCCGGGATTCCTCGGCGTAGTAGCCGCCTGCGTTCCCTCGGTTCCAAGCACATCATTCACGTG